AGTCTCTGTATTAGTTCCTGACATCGGTAAATGAATTTCTTCGTTGTTTGATGCACAGTTCTTCATCGCAATATTCATTTCTACAGCTCTACTAAATCCGACATATTCAACATGGACAAGACTTACTAAAATTTCGATATAAAGCATTACAATATTATTATATTATATTACAGCATTATAATTTTCTAATCATGCCTAGTACATTTATTTTTGTAGTTCCACTTTTTGCCACCTTAACTGAATGACATTTATTGTACAATTTTTTTCCAACTTTACTTTACTTCTGTCGATGCAAATAATAATGTATTTAAAATTTGGTGTATATATTCTTATTCTTAACATATGTTACATCTTCTATTAAATACAAATAGAACTTTATTCTAAAAAGTAAAAAAAGGGAACATATATATGACATTTGATTATCTCTGCCATAAGCAGAGAGTTAATGCTAATTTGCGATCCATAAATCAATAAAATCAATAAAAACCTTTAAATTATTTTTGATTAAGAACCTAAATTATCTCTTAAGGTTATTATGTTGATAAAAAGAAATATTGGAGTACAGCTGCAATTAAACATACAATTAAGAAGATTGAGTGCTGTATTACAGCTAATAAATGATACATTACAGCATTAGTATTTAAATTTCTTTACGAACTATGTTAAGCAAATCAATTACTTCAATTACCATACTTGACAATTGCATTCATTTCATATAAATATTATTGGGTTTCGTTAAGGCTTATGGTAGTACCTTTAAAACTATCTATATTAAATTTAAACAGTTATGAATAAATAGTTATCTTTGCAGGATAGAATAGATAGAAATCTCTTATACTCTTATTATTGTAATGTCAAAATAGTTGTATTTCAGAGACCGCCTATATACACGTAGTCCCTTGAAGTATATTATAACAGAAGTCTGTAATTATGTATTTAAAACTGAAAGTTTATTCCGTACTCGGTGAACTTATTAAATAAACCAACAGTAATCTTCCTATAGTCTTATTTGGTTCTCATCTGACTTTCAGTGTGATTGCTTGTTCTCCTGAATGTAGTGTAGGTCTGTAGGGGCGTATATCAAAGTGAAGGATGATTTTTGACATGAGATATATTTAAATTCAAAAAAAGATTTCATAAAATTGATTAAAATAAAAAACGATACATTAATTTGCAAGTAGACGGAATTTTGTTGGAACAGATATTACCTGAAAATAGTTTCACTTTTCACTTTCACCAATTTTATTAAATGGTATATATGTTGTCAATAGTTATATGTTATCATGAAAGAAAAGTATGGAGAGACTTTCAAGTAACGTAAGAAGTACGTATGGAAAAGATTTTTATTATTCAGTTTAATGAATATATAATTATAAATTTCTATGGGTATACAGTATTTATTCTACTTCAAATTCTCTTAACTTCAGTGCTTAAATGTCAATGAGATTGGTATGATATAGTACTATGATGTTACGAGAAGTAACATCATCTTAAATACTATAAATTAATAAATATTAACATATTCAATCTTTTGTTTAAGTTTATTTACTATGGATTTGCAAATCTAAAAGGATTGCATATGAAACCATCGGAAAATAAGGATACCTGATCTGCGACACTATCTTTGTGTCATTGTAGTTTTTGTTTTCGTTGTACTTTTGACTGATAAAAGACTGTAATATTTCATCTTGACATATGAGTGACAAAATTGTCTCAAATACATAGAAGCATCATTTTATAACAAGAGGTACGGGTATGTCAATCGAATCAAGTATGTCTCAGATATTGCTCAAATTATACACTAATTTCTGAGACGATCTCGTATTAAATAAAATTGAAATAAATTAAATTGAGCTGATGCCGTCATTAATCTATGTTTTAATAAAGTATTTCAGATCTCAAAATAGTTCAATACAGAACACAATAGTTTGGAAATTGGAAATAATTCAAGACAAAACTTAAAACACATAACATCAGACTGTCTACTTTATACTCCTTCTGTACAGTAATCCTGGATATTGTCTGGATGTTACTTAATGTGAAGAATATTTTTCATTCGATCGCATCCATTATCATTTTTGTTATTAATTGTGAAGAATCAAAATAATTATTAATTAATGGTAGAAATTCCCAAAAATAAAAAGTAAACAACTCTACATAATAAAATACAAACAGTTTACCTATTATCTGTGGTTTTGTAAACTGACACTTCCGAAAATTTCGAACAAACAAAATTTGTTCCAAGAATCTTAAATCTGCCGAGTAGAAACACGTCTTCTATTTGAAATATTAACAACAAAATTCTTAATTGCTTGCACAATGATAATTAATTATTTAAATAAAAAAATGTTTTTAAATACATTATTTTGTTGTATTTTATTTTTTCTATTTTGTTCTATTATGAGATTGAGTTTTTTTATAAGAGAAATCAAAGCAAAAAGTTCGAAAATATCAAATTGATCTCTACCATAACACGACGGAGATGAGGGATATGAGTCTCTCGAGAGAAAATGATTTGCATATTATGATTATTGAATCGAACACTAAACACTATACACCATACATTTTTTATTATTTATAAAAAAATATACAAATATTGTGACGTCATTAACAGAGGGAATTTTTTAAAATTTAGAAGAGCCTAAGGTCGTGATCACGGCATAATATATTACACGTCATGACAACTCGTTCAAATTGATTTTGTAAATGTTTTTATTTTCTCTTGTTTCGAAGCGTAAGCATCAATTAATATTGACAGATATATTGCGAATACATCATAGACGACATATGAAGTGTGGACATTCCAATATCTGATACTTAATTATGTGTTTCTTTTCTCTGTATAATATATTAAACGCAATAACATTTCTGCTCGATCTACGTTTACATAGCTTAGTTTCGGTGCAGTGGCGTATACAGGGCGGGACTAAGAGACATATTCTTTTCCATTTTACAATATAATCCATATATAATACACTGCAGAAACATTGCCTAAAAATATTTTCTAGTATATCGTCTCCTATCTGGTATAATCCTGGCTACGCCATTTATACAGTTTCATGGATTTCGTACTTACAGAATGAATAGGACACATAGATAGCATTGCGATGTAAGATTTAAATATTTGGTCTGTTATCCAAAAATAATAAATAAATAATTTATTGTATTTTAATGTAATTTGTTCAAGGTTATTGTAATTTTACTTCTTTTTGTTAATCTACCAAATTATTCATCTGATTACATCTGATCATCTAACCGTTATCACAATCAATATCTAGATGAAGGGCTCAGAGTTCCACTCATCGAGGTAAAGGGATAGGTATTGTGGGGATTGTGGCATAAGGCCTGAACATGAGGCATAATCAACATGAGGGATGGAAACTATATTAAGTGAATTATAAGTGTGGTACAATAATTGACGTTTATATTTATTTTAACGTTGCTGCAACATAACAATTATATTTTTTATAAGTCGAAATAATGAAAATACAGATATAAAACTATTTTCGGGTAATCGTTTTCAGTAGTTTTTATCAATTTTCGGTAGATGGTGTAAATTCAGTCGAATATCATTTTATCTCCATGATTTCGATATTTGTTTATAAAATTTGAAGAAAATTTAATAATAATTAAAATAAACTCTGTATCTAAACAAAATATATAGTGTACGTCTATATTATTATTATAAAATCATCTTTGCCAATATTCGTTAAAATAATTTTGTTTGGCAGCAGTTATATGTTAGCTTAATGTACGGTTTCTCTGTAATGTGTGTATTTATCTGACCGCATTTCGTTATTAAAATAAATAAGCTTATTTCTATCTTAGACACACATTATTTTTTTTTTTTTGTTTTTTGTGACAAGGTGAAGTGGAATCTCTACGCACTGACCACAATCCGGCGTCTCGGAAAGTGAGTGTCTGACTCGCACGGGCTAAATCACTCCCCATCATTCCTAGACACCTTGTCCTACCCCGGGACTAAGTTAGTATTACTTCGAGCTAGGACCGCTATTAGTCATTAAAGATTCCATCTGTGTGACCTGCGTGCAGGCCCCGCTACTGATCTTACATATACAACAGTATTTTATTATATTATTATATTAAATAATATTAAAACTTCAACCATTTAAATATCTTTGAATCAATACTAAATCAGTATGGATCTACATTATTATTAGTTATTTGAGAGAAATACGCGAATAAGTAAACATGTAATTTGTTAATAGCTAAGCGGTGTTGAAGAATAGGACGCTAATCATAAAGTAACAAAAGAAAAACCCATCCTGATCATTTTTTGAAGTCTACTTTCGGTACACAGGTTTGAAAATAACTACAAATACATGAACAACAGCAAAAACTTAATCTTGATTTACAGTTAATAACACTTAAGGCGCACCGTGTGAATGGGCTATAATGTAAGTTTATGTTTTGGCAGTAAACTCTTGACTCTAAGGAAGTTCCTTTAACGCAATGATCTTAAATAAAAATATTGGTAAGAAATGGTAAAAAATACGAAAATCGAAGAGGTGAGAACTTAATTAGAATTAATTAAATTAATTAATTAAAGAATTAATAAGAAAAATTAAATACAAGAGTGCAGTTCAGTGGACTTAAATTTCCTTTTAGACGGTGTAAAGTGTTAAAATTGTATAGTGTAGCGCACCGACTTTGTCAGACAACTGGCGAACCGCACGTACCACCGCGAGCGATCATATACATAACTTAGCAGGAATCATCCCGCACCATAAAAACGACAAACATTTTACCCAGATTCTTCCACAAAGTCATTTAATTGATAACAAAGAATACAAGCGAAAGCAAAAGCAAGAGCAAAGCCAATCGCAACAAACAAACAATCAAGCAAATAACAACAAAAACAAAAACAAAAACAAAAACAAAATTTATGAGAAGCACAACAACAAAGCAAATTAAAAAACAACAACACGAAAATAAACAAGATTTCAAAATAAATAAAATACGTACAGTTTCAAAGCTTCGCCTCATTCGCACTCAACTGTCAGCGTGAGCGGACGGCATAAGCTTGAGCACCGACACCGATACCGATACCGGTTTTAGCGCGTTGGACTATAGTCAGTTAACGGCTGATTGAGTTCCTTATTTCTTTAATAATTGTGGTTTCACTACGACAAAAAAAAGCTAATCAATAAAAATTATTTTATAAAAATTCGATAATAAAAACTAAGAGAAAAGTGCGTTGTTATTCGTTTGTGGTTTGTGGTTTGTGGTGGTCTGTGCGAAGACTGTTCTAACTAATTTGTATTGACATTTTCTTTTAATCATAATCATAGCCATAATCATAGTTGTACTAATTATTAATTTAAATATTTTTTAATTCTAAAATCTAACGAAAAAGCCAACAAAATGGCGCGAAAAATACTGCTCGCCTATTGTTTTCTGCAAATCGTGGTATTCGCGCTTGGAGCTGGGTTAGTATTCCAATACCTACTTTTATATACATATTTAATATATACCGAACACTCAAGACTTTAATATTACCTGTGTTTAAACAATATATAATAATACTGTATGTAATAAGTGCTATAGTTCAAGCTAAAGATATAGTTTGAGGTACTAACTGATTTCAACAGGACAAAATGTGATTTGGGTCAAAGCCATTTAATAATAATATATGGAAATACTATATATAATAAGTGCCATAGTTCAAGCTAAGGATATAGTTTGAGGTACTAACTGATTTCAACAGGACAAAATGTGATTTGGGTCAAAGCCATTTAATAATAATATATGGAAATACTATATATATTAAGTGCCATAGTTCAAGCTAAGGATATAGTTTGAGGTATTAACTGATTTCAACAGGATAAAATGTGATTGGGGTCAGAGCCATTTAATAATAATATACGGAAATACTATATATAATAAGTGCCATAGTTCAAGCTAAGGATATAGTTTGAGGTACTAACTGATTTCAACAGGACAAAATGTGATTTGGGTCAAAGCCATTTAATAATAATATATGGAAATACTATATATATTAAGTGCCATAGTTCAAGCTAAGGATATAGTTTGAGGTATTAACTGATTTCAACAGGACAAAATGTGATTTGGGTCAAAGCCATTTAATAATAATATATGGAAATACTATATATATTAAGTGCCATAGTTCAAGCTAAGGATATAGTTTGAGGTATTAACTGATTTCAACAGGATAAAATGTGATTGGGGTCAGAGCCATTTAATAATAATATACGGAAATACTATATATAATAAGTGCCATAGTTCAGGCTAAAGATATAGTTTGAGGTACTAACTGATTTCAACAGGACAAAATGTGATTTGGGTCAAAGCCATTTAATAATAATATATGAAAATACTATATATAATAAGTGCCATAGTTCAAGCTAAAGATATAGTTTGAAGTAGTAATTTTTTGGACAGGAATAAATGTGATTTACTTTCTAAAAACATTGAAAAGGAAAACCTGACAACAGCGAACTATACGTAGATGAGAACATATTCGAATATAGTGCTTAGGTTCATTTGCTTAGATGTAGTTTGATAACATTTTTCTATTCAACACTTCTATTCCAACTTGTTGAATTCAATCATAACGATTTATATTTAAGTGCATTTCTTAGTGTTATATGTTTACCTGAAGCTTAGCGTAGAGGAGTTTAGTTAATATTATATAGAGGTCTTATCCTGTCCACTCTCCAAACAGTGTGCGATTCCTCATTAATATTAATACGTAATTAAGATATTAATAATAGATTATGTTAGCACTGGCCATATGTAGTGTTTAATACTATTAATTAAAAATATAAATTTCCTGACTGCTCAATAAATGTCAATGATTCGAGGTCCATAAAAATCACTTCTTCAATCATAAATTTAAGAACAAATATTTGCAATTTTATCAGTATTTACAAATATAAGTACAAGATTATAAAATATACGCAATGTATTAAAGGATATCCTTTTAAAACTTTTCGGTTACTTTCTGAAGTGAACATTTTCATTCGTGCCGAGAATCATAATTTATACTCCATTAAATGCAATGTAATAATATACTTAAATTTTTATTTTGTTGTATGAGATTTAAAAAATAAGTTAAATTGAAATCGACTTCTTTATTTCCGATATTATTTAAAAAGTATCATATATTCACTACGTTTTTATTTATTTATTTTTAAGTTAAGTTTAAGTTTTATTTATTTATTTTTAACACCATATCAATTGTTACTTTTCTGCCTTCCGTTCCCCTAATGCCTTTCCGATATTACTATTGTAAGCAGTGAAGACATTGTAATTTCAGAAAATGGGTTCCCGGGCAGAAACAAGGATATTTTTATCTATGCATCTAAATCTTGTCTTCAAATGGGCGAACTGCCATTTCGATCTACCATCTTTGAATATATTACTGCCTTATTATAATATATTGAGTGTATTATTTTCTAATTGGAGAATTTATCTATTATATTAAAAAAAATTTATAAAAATTTTTATACAAATGTGGGTTACAATCTTGTGCAGACCCGAGGAATCAACTGTAAAAGCAAAAGCATTTTAAGATCACATGCTCAGTAAATTGAAAATTGAAAAATATCAAATATCGATTATTATAATTTCTTTATATCCACAAATTTACTTACTGAGATTAGAAGACTTTTTTCAGAGTTAGTACAATTGATTTGAAGTTGCCATTGTATTATAGTACGTGTCGTTCCGTTGCGCCGGTACACATTTAAAACCCAAATAGAAGTGTTGAGTGCACTCTATTCATCAATAGAGTCTACAGTCCATAATAGATTTCATATGTGATCTCTACTTTTTTCATTGAGTTAAACTAGTGTAGATTTTACAAACCACAATAGTGGCAATCGGTCAGTCCATACAGTTCTAGTCTCTGCTGTAAAAAATGCAAAATCGACAGAAGTGGTAAAAAGCACATCGATCAACAACAGAATATTCAAGACATCACATAACTTTATCATATTTTCGAGTAAGTCGCCATCATCTTTATCACAAGTCTTGGCTCTACAGTTCGTATTGTGCAACATATTTTATTTAATTTAAGTTTTTATAATTTGAATTGTGAGAACAATATTAAAAATAAATATAGGTTTTTTTCCAACCGGAACAAACACTGTATATTATTATATTGTGGGGGTTTTTTATAATTCTAGAAAATAACAAAAAAAGAATTTTAATCATTGGTTTATTCTTGAGGTACTAAATAATTCCAGTTATTTAATTAATCAATTATTTAATAACAATTTTAATACTTAATTATATCACAATATCTATTTTTATGAATACTATGTAAACTATCTTTAATATTGTATTTGTTAGAAAATTTGAAATCGTAGATCTTTGCTACAGACCGCTTTAGATCTTATAGATCTTATATTAAGTGCATTCTTTTAAATAATATCAAATCTAATCTGCTCTATCAGTTCTATCATTGATTGTTGATTGAATTCTTAGAAATTATATTGTAAGAGTTTGACCCGTTCTCTCTTAAATAACTTTTACAGTTTATAGTAAAATCTGGAGATTAATTAAATTGTTATTTTTCCTTTTACGAATCTTCTGTGTACCTTCAATACTTTGTTGCTATGATAAACAATTTTACTATAAATCGATCGATTCCTAGAATATTTGTTATTATATGATAACAATTCATGACGAATAGATTGTCTAATAAAATGATCTATCTCCTTTCTTTTTTGGCTAATATACTCTGTTTGTTTCAATGTTGCATGATATGATAATACATAATTCAGATGAGATCCGGTAGTTGTGGATACAAAATAGACAGTAATATTGATTTTAATGGAAAAAAGTAATGAAATTGTGTAAAATTAGAAAAAGTAAATCACTCCCTTCTTAGATGATGCAAACTTTAAATATAAGGACGCTGCTTAGTGAAATAATAATAATGTTGTTAGGGAACAGAGGTTTCCAATTGAGTAAAAATTCTACCTTTAATTTGTCTACATGTTTCTAATTACATGTAGAATCAAGTATCCCCTGACTATTGTCAAAACTGAAAGATTACTCAAAACGTTATAAAATGTCCTCTCTACATGGTCCTCTCTACACGTCATTCTCTACATTCTGCACAGTCCCATCCTTTTTAAATAGTAGCGCAGAGAGAGATTAACTTTGTTCTGCTGTTAAATGTGTGTCTTTACAGGGAATTACATTTTAGAATTACATTCTTTGCTTAATGGTAACTTTTCGTGTTGTGTAAATAGTGACACTTTATGCCTATTATAATTACTATCTGGTAAAGTGATTAGCTTGTTATGGTTGACTCCTTTCAGTTAAAGGATGGACTCTGTAGCAACCACGACCAAATCAATTGGTCCTTATATTGGGTTAAGAAATTAGAATGTGAAATTGTTATTAGATTCCTGATAATACAAAAGAGTCTATAAATAAATAAATAAGATAAATATAAAGAAGTTGATGTGGAGAATATGTGGAGTTGAAAAGCACTTTCAAATGCGATTCCTAAAAATTATCTATTGTTACTATTAATTTGTGAAATTAGTGTGTGAAACTGATTACAAAACCAGGTTCCAGTTTCTTGATTTTGGACAATTTTTTGAGATTTATGTTTGATATTCAAATGCAGTAGTTTATTTATTCGAGCGTAATTTATTTAGTTATGAGGGTATATGAGTAGTAAACTATGATAGCAGTTATTAGTAGTTAAACGTGGATAATATGTTAGGTTCTGGAACAGTTTGTAGTGTAATTTGCTGAATTTATTCGTCGTTGTCATTGAATTTGATTTGCAATTGCAATATAATATACATAAGTGATGGAAAATTCTTTCAGGATAATTGTTTAATATTATACTATATGCATCCTATAATATTTTACAATCTTTTCGGCTTTGTTTTTTTTTTTTTTGGGTTGGCAGCTGTCCACTTAGCTCTTGCGTTATGATGATGGAAACATGATTAACTATCGCATAGAATGATAAATATCGTAGTTCTAAACAGCGTTGAGAAGAACAGATGCTTTGATTGCTTGTGCTAAAACACAGTACCCACTTTGCAAATACTCGTAGCTTTCTTATGACTGTAAATATTTAGAAAAACTGGCTCATAGTATCTTTAAGATATCAGTTTTTGTTAGAAATTTGAGTTTAATGTCCCTTGAAATAACTTTGTTGACTAACAGAGCCGGAGGCAGCACTATCTGTTTATCCTTTTTTCACATAAATTGCAGATTTGACATCAGTTAAGAGTATCTACAACCAAAAAAAAAAATAATAAGCTGATAAAAGTAATAATAGTGAGCTTCTAAAAAAACTGATAATAGTGATCTATGATAATATTAGGCTTATTTATTTAACTCTTCAACAGATCTATAAATGAATTTCTCACATTCTTTAATGAAAAAAGGCATATTTTATTAAAAAAGATCTGCTCGTAAACTGAAAATTAAG